AACAACAATCATGACGCCTTCGGGCTGAACGGAGGAGGAGGACTCACCAGTCTGAACAGCGCAGGATCGACGTCCACGGGCGCCCTCTCGGACACCAGTAGCTGCGCCAGCAACGGTTTTGCCGGGGAATCGGACTTTGTGGCCGACTTTGGGACGGCCAACATATTTGATGCCACCTCGGCCCGATCTGCGGGCTCGCCGGCCGTCTCCTCGGCCTCGTCGGTGAGCTCCACGAATGGATATGCCAAGGTGCAGCCCATCCGAGCGGCCCACCTCCACCAGCAGCAGCAGCAGCAGCAACAACAGCAGCAACAGCAGCTGCTGAATGGTAGCCAGGGAGCGGAGAACTTTGCGGACTTTGATCATGCGCCCATCTTCAATGGCGTGGGTAAGTCCTGGGATTCCCCCCCGTGTGGGAGATGCTTCCTTTTTCTTCCTTTCGTTTTATTTAAGTTTTGAGTTGCGTATCCGTTGGTTGGATATATCTTTCGATCTTTCGCGTACACCACTCTTCGAGGAGCCTGCTCCGATGGCTCCTCCTGCCTGCTGCCTCCTGCCAACCTGCCGCTGCACGGCTTGCACCATGCTTGTACCCATGTAGATCGCTTGCCGCCCCGCCCATACGCTCTCCTCCAGACTATGGATTCTGTGTCTCACAATCTCTCTCTATCCCTTTGCGGGCAGCTCTACAGGCGGCCAAGGCGATGCCGCCGGTGTTCAACGGTTGGGTGAGTGACTGGAGCAGGCGCGACTTTCACGACCCTTTCGACGATAGCAATTGGCTGCCGCCAATGCCAGAGCCTCATCCTGCAGCAGTCGCTCCACCAGCAGCAACAGCAGCAGCAAAGGCGAAAAGAGTGAGAGACGAGCACGCGCTGAACTGGAGCTTCTGGCAGGAGCAGATGCAGATGGAGCCAGAGCCAGAGATGGAGTACTCGATGATTCAGCGCACAAGCTCGACCAACTCCTGGTACTCCTGCGCCGAAGAGCCACCACTGTCGCCATTGAATCCCTTTCTGCCGTACCTGACAGAGTCTTCAGAGTCGCCAGAGCCTCCGCCTCCTCCACCCAGCCGAGCCTCCTATTTGTTGTTCAGCTCCCTGTCGGGCAGTTTCCGAGAGGAGGAGGAAGACGAGTATCAAGCAGATGAGGCAGCAGCATCATCAACGGAGCATCAAGATCAAGATCCAACTCAAAATCAAAGTCAAAGTCAAGATTCCGACATATTGAATGCCAATTTCCGTGATTTCTTTGCGTGGAGTAAGTTTTCAGTTGCCTTTCAGTTGCGTTTCGTTCTCCGTTGAGTTGATTTGTTCTTGTATCCCTTGGATCTGTGTTTAGTTTTGATTTTTGTGTGTAGTTGAAGCATCCTGTACGCTGTATCCCCCGTATCTCATTTTCATCTGCATGGATCCAGCGACTAATCCATTTGCTTTGTTATTCTAGGCGCCCCGCTGCAGAATGGCCACACGCCGGCAGGCCACAAGAGCAGTGCACCGGCTGTGGCGCCCAGCGAGGACCGCTATGCGGCCCTTAAGGACCTCGACGAGCAGCTGCGCGAACTGAAGGCCAGTGAGTCGTCCGCCTCCGAGGCACCGACGCCCACCAATGGCAACAACAATGGCCACCAGGCGACGGACGCCTTTGGCAGTGGTGAGTGCTCGCTGGCACACTTGAGCAGTCCTTGAAGCAGTCACTAATTGGTTTCTGTTCTCCATCCTTCGTGTGCAGCCCTCGTGAACAACAACAATCCGAATCCCTTCAAGAGCCAGCAGCAGCAGCAGCAGCAGCAGCTGCTAAGCAGTCACGTTGTGAATCCATTCCAGCAGCATCAGCAGCAGCAGCAGCAGAATCTCTATGGCCAATTGACGCTCATACCAAATGCATACGGCAGCAGCCCCCAGCAGTCGTCCCATCTCCACCAGCAGCATCTGCAGCAACAGCAGCAGCAGACAAGCTTCTTTAACTTCAATAACAATGGATATGCCATGGCCCAGGGTCTGCCCAATGGCTGTGGCTTTGGCAGCATGCAGCCGGCACCAGTTATGGCCAACAATCCATTTGCAGTAAGTGGAAGACTCCACCTCAAACCCAATCCGAATTGACTTTTTATGTTCAATGTTCAATGTTCTCTCCACAGGCGAGCGGCGCCATGAACACCAATAATCCATTCTTATGAGACTCAACCCAGAAGCAAAACTCGCCACTCGCCGCCGACACTTGGCTGAGGCGCTGACAGCCAGCCGATCAAAGCCAGCCAGGGAGCGGAGCCCCCGGACGGAATAGAACGAAACGGACGGAACAACTGCGCTGCGCTGCGAGTGAACCGAACCGAAATTAGTCCATTTTACGAACAATAGCATTAATCTACTACATACGAGTATATATACATAAAACACACTCGCTGTGTACATAGGTGAAATGTGTACACGACACGGCACTCTGTCTCAGAGCAGGAGTAGACGCAGGATGATATATATATATATATTCTTTTATATGATAACTCTAGAACTTGTACAGGAGCTCCCCTCCAAACATACGGGGGGCCCTTCATTATACTAATACTAGTGAGGGGGGGATGCAGATGCCCCGATCTTATGGAGCTCTCTTTCTCTCGTTTCTCTCTCTATCTCTCTATAGTTATGGAGATTTCAATGTCACTGTCACTGTCACTGTCTGTTAGCACTGTCCCTACTGTCCCTCTAGCACTTTCGTTGCGGATAAGAAACTCTGTCAGTGTTATTGATTGTGTGGCCTTAATAAGATTATAAAACTATAAATTATAACGTACTACTACTATACGGATACAGATAAAAAGATACAGATACTACTGACTCCAGATATATACATATATATATCTGTATATATATATATATATATATATGCTTTTGTACCTAATGAAATGCTTCTTGTTTTCATTGCTCTGCTCTCTGCCAGCCGCAGCCGCAGCCACAGCCGTACGTGCGCGATATCGGGCGTGCAGATTGCTCAAACTAAAAAACAAAATAAAAGTTTAACTTTGTTACACCACCAACAGACGTTAGTACGTGCGTACACACGGTTTGTCTGGCTGTCTGTGTGTTTATAATTGTAAGCCCCAAATGTAATGCCCGCCCTGCCCCGAACCCCGAACCCCTACCCTCATCCCTCATCCATGAATCACGTTCACGCTCACTCTTCACATGTCCATGTCCATGTCCAGATAAGAAGCAAGAATTTTTCCATTTTTAGCCTTACAAACAAAACAACATTATCGAAGCCTTAAAGTTATTTAAACTACGAAAATTTCAATAAAAAGAAATAAGAACGCTATGTCCATAATTATCTTCTTTTTTTAATTTGGAGTGAAGTAAGAATTACTCGTATAAATGTAGCTATCAAAAGGAGACATTTACAATCACAAGAAAGAATAATGGCTTCGTCAGTAGAGGTGCCAAATATTGTTTTGATACCATACAAGCTTCCTTCGGTCAATTCAGCTAAATGCAATCCCCTAAATGAGCGCTTCATGGCCAAGAGCCGATCGTCCAGCAAGGGTCAGGGTCTGCTCCTCTTCACCCAAGAAAAAGCCAACGGAATTTTAATATTTTCACTTATATTGAAACATTTATGCTATTTTTCTATCGGGTATGCTGACGGCACTCGTCTGGGTCGACCCATCTTCTCCAGCAGCAATGCACTTAAGTCGGACATCGCGGATTCGAGCCATTCCGGACAGCAGATGCACGGTGGGCCCCCGGTCCGGATCTTGTAGTTTTCCAGCAGAATTGCTACGTAGACAAGTACGAACAGAGTCAATAGAGAGCTCAGCCCGAACACAATAATGTTCCAGAGACCTCTACCGAACCACCGCCACAGGCGTTGCGACAAGGTCTCACGGGCCGAAGTGCAGTACCTGGGACTGTACTGCGTCCCACGGGAGGTCATTGTGGGAGATACGTAGATGCAAAACTGACTACTGCTGTTTCTTTGTGGATTTCGGGCATTTTGCTCCATAACTTTGAAGTCTCTCGCTCGTTGTAGGTATGTATAATGTAAGTACGTTTGCTCTGACATCAAATTCAACAAAATTTAGGTCATGTTTTTGTGCTAGAAGGGAGTGGTTTATGGAGTCGAATGCTTTACTGAAATCCGTATTCTGGAAAGAACTCTTATAAATTTGTGGTAGTTTATCGCCGCCGTATAAATCTATGCTGAGCTGAAGATAGAAGCCAATTTCAGCCAGCGAAAATAAATTCTTTCCGTCAGACTTGCTACCTTTCTTTGGGAGAGGAATAAGAAACTATTTCTTCCAAATCGGGGGAAGCAAGAAGAATCAATGGATAGGGTGAATAGCTTAGACAGAGGGCCACACAGAGCCTCGACATAGTATCTGAGTACACAGCCGGTACGTCCGTCAGGACTTATTAAACACACTGACCAGAGTAGCTTTTCTGAGAATAGGTTGTGTGAATACAATACAGGTGGACCTATATCGAGCGACATATCTGGCCGTTGCATGTCTTTTCTTCATCGGCTCATCGAGATTTCGGTGCCTTTCAGCAGTCTAGATCCTCTGGTCCTTCGCCGATCTGGCGTCCCTAACTTTTGGCTATCAAAATAATTTAATTATTCGTGGGGTGAGGGTTGTTGTCTTTTGTTGATCGGGGAATTAATGATCCGACGCGAGATGAGATAGTTTTCTTTAATTTATTTGAATGTATTTTTATTCATTTCCGTTTCGGTATAATTTCTAGTTTGTTCTCGTCGTCTTTAGTACTAGTTTGGTTTAGCAATTGTTGAAATTACCATAAATTATTTAAGGTTTATTTTGTATGTACTCGTGTTTATATAAATTTATATATTAAAAATTCGCATATGAAAGAAAGTCGAAAGTCACCTAACTCTTTCTCCTCGTCTGGCAGCCGACTCCACCGCCGAATCAACGTTTCTCTAATCACTTTCCTAGAGCTAAATAAAAACAAAATAATAATCATAATGATAATAATAATCATAATCAGAGGGCCATGAAAAAGGCAAACAAAATGTAATTGCAATAATTAAACAAAAGTTAAAGCTGGAATCGCTGCGCTCTTACTCTTAATCGTAACCGTAATCGTAATCGTAAATAAAACTTTAAATAGAGTATGTATATTCTGAAAAGGGTGTCGTCTAGGTGTGTTAGCATTGCATCAACTGTACAGTATGGCATATATGTGGATATAAGCCTCCCCTCCCTGGTTGCCCCCGCACAAACGATTCGATTATGTTTTTATAATTATTTGCGAACAGCATCTGGAGCCAGAGCTGCCCAGAGATATCAATTGTATTTGTTATGGTTATATCGTAGTCGATAATTAAATGGTTAAATAACAAAAAAATGACTGTAGGATCGATCCTCACTCTGGCTGTGTGTGTGTGCGTGGGTGTGGTTGGTCTGTGGTGTGTGGTGTGTGGCGTGTGGCATGGTGTTGGGGTTGCCCTGTGCATCACTTATGTATGTACATACACAAACAACTTCATTGCGGACTTTTGGTTATACATAGTGTAATGTAATCGTTATGCACGGATAATAGACATCATCATCATACTGATTTGGGTACCATACTGACCCGTACATATATACTACATATATATAAATACTATATATATATGCATGGTTCATATTTCATATTACATTTTCAAGTGTGTTCTGGGTTAAAAGCGTTCATCTCTCATCTCCTGCTCTCTGTCGGTCTCTAGTCTCTTCGTTCTACTGCTCCTGTCCTCTGTGTACATTTTAGTCGGCTACAACTTTCGTTTTAGAATATAGTAATATGTGCACATGTATGTATATGGTATGTTTTATATACTTATGTAAGTGTAATGCTGCATGTTGACATCTAGAATTGTTCTTTGAATCCCCCTCCCCTACTCCCTCCTCCATCCTCTCACATCCTCTCATCCCTCACTTGCCACCTCCAACGAAAGGCGGCTCACAAAAGGTAATGTCTGTAATGTGATGTGTGTGTTGTTCCTCTTTCACTTTCTGGTTAACATAGCCAATGCGATAATTAAGCGTTAATTTAATTTAATTTAATTATATAAAAGTACAAAAAGGTCCTTTGTCCGTGGTTATATAAGATCTATATACACACACACTCGTACACAGATCCACACAGATCCCATCCGATCCATTCCGTTCCGATCTGTTCTTAACTGGAGTTCTGCTCTGAACCCTCGGAATCGGTTTAGGCATTTAACTGAATCTGAATCTGAATCTTAATCCGAATCTAAGACTGAATCTGAAACTGAATCTGAATCTTGGAAACTACATTGAACTACACGTCGAGCTGAGCTGCTGAGCTGCCTATAAGTTAGCCTTGGTATATCTTTGTGTTGTATATGCTTAATACGGGTAATAATGATCCCCCCCTTTGATGATATTCATCCTTGTGGCAATTTACGTTCCATTGGCCTTGGGCAGCGACCGCACCAGATACAGCTTCTCGCCCTGCTTGTTCGTGTAGATGGGCGCTCTTTGGTAGTGGTCGACCAGCTGGTCCAGTGAGTGGAACTTCCGCTGGCCAATGCAGTACATGTTCTGCTCCACGTGGACGCGGAAGTGCTTGTTCCTGCCGGGGGCCTTCAGCGAAACCGAGTAGTCGCCCATCTGCAAGAGAACGAGAGATACAATAGAAGAACGTTGCCTGACTGCACTCAAAACCTTTCAAGACTTCTTCTCTTTCCACTCACGTTAGTCTCACTGTCTCTGATGAGGAAGTCGCCGTCGTGGCCGTGGCCATTGAGCACCGTATCGCACTGGCTGCGAGTGATGGCTCCGTAGTACCAGGTCTTGCCCGCCAAATTTGGTCGCTCCATGGGCTGAGTAGAAGACTGCGATGAGGGTTTGTTGTTGCCCTCGTTCCGGCGTTCCATGGAGTCTCCGCCGCCACCACCACCGCCGCCGCCGCTGCCGCCGCCTCCGCCACCGGCCCCGTTGTTGCTGCCAGTGCCATTGCCATTGCCGGCGGCGCTAGTATTGCGATAGGGCGTGGCCAGGTAGTCATTCAACTCTTGGAGATAATTGCGTGGAACTAAACCGACTTGGCCCTGGTTGTTGCGAGCCTTGTACCAGTCCGGATCGGAGGCGGGCCGATCCACGATCTCCAGCCGGTCACCCTTCTCAAACGACAGCTCCTGGTCATTGTTCGACGTGAAGCTGTAGAGGGCCACCTGCAAGAGAAGAGAACGTCCGTCCATTAGAGGCCACCACATTAGAATCTATCGTTAATAAGCGTACCACAATATCGAGCACGTTCTCGGCCATGGCATAGGTGTGGATCTCCCCATCGTTATCACAATCCTCGGTTGTGTAGTTGCTGGGGAACCAGCCGACGGAATTGCCGCTCTGGCCGCGCCACCATCCGTCGTTGGACTTCTCTAGGATGAGGATACGCGTGCCCTTGGTCAGCGAGAGCTCGTCCGGCTGCTGGGCCTGGTAGTTGTACTTGACGATGGCCGTGCCAATGGCCTCGGCCGGATCGGGGGGCAAGCGTCGCGACATTGTTGGACTCTCGATCTGCCGGGACGGCGAACAGTTGGGCAGCGTCTTCGACCCGGAGCCCTTTTTCACCTTCTTCTTGATGCTGCAAAGACACATATTAAATCAGATCAGATCGAGGCTATCCACTAGGGGGTTCTTTATGTACATATAGGGGCGTGGTTGGTTGGGGTTAGACTATTAGCCCTAGTTTCAATCATTTTGGGTGTTAGTTCAGGTCCAGGCAGTAGGGTTCAGGGGTCCAGGGGCTCGACATTTGAGTGGCAAAAGTGACAACGAAAGCAAAAGGAATTTGTTTACAAAATACAAAATACAGAAATACAAAAGCCGAAAGCAGTTGGAAACATAAAGTACAATAATCAAAGCAAAACCAAGGAGTGGGAAAGAGATACTTCTACAGATACAGATACAGATAAAGATACGGATATATTTGTGGATATAAAAGAGATCTTAATACTGCTGAAATCAGAGCAAGAAGAAGGCTTAAGTTTAGTTGCGGACTCGGGGCTTGTGGCTTTCTGTGGTACGCACCTGTCGAAGAGCGAGGGCTTCTCCTTCTTCACATAGTTGCTGGGCACGTAGCCGGACTGGTTGCGGCTGTTCTGGACACGCCACCAGTGCTTCGAGTCGTCCAGCAGAAGATAGCGCTCGTTCTTGCGCAGGTCCAGCTCCTGGGCACCCTGCGCCGCATAATCGTACTTGGCTACCACGTAGCAGACGTCTTCCTGAGATTTGCCTGTGAATCAGCGAAGAAGGAAACAGTTTATAGAGTGTCCCGATGGATGTGTCAGCCACAAGCTTACCGTGCTTCATGTTGCCCGCCATTGATTGGGGTCCAGCGTTGCCAGCGGCGCTGCAACTGGAGGAGTTACCGCTGCTGCTGCCGCCGCCGTTGCTGTAATCGATCGCTGGCTGGCCGAAGGTCACACTTTTGTGCTGGGCACTGCAGCTGGAGGCGGTCGACAGGGTGCGATGGTGCAGCTGTAGCTGCTGCTGCTGCTGTTGCTGCTGCTGCTGCTGGGAGAGCGACGAGTGGCGCTGATGGTGCGCCGGCGATCCAGGTGCCTGCGCCTGCGGACGGTACTGGTAGATCTGGTTTTGATTCTGATTGAGATTCAGATTCTGATGCTGCGGCGGCGGCGGCGGATACTGCTGCTGCTGCTGCTGATGAGCACTGCTGCTGTTTGAGGAGTCGGGGATGTTACGCGCGAACCGCTGTGGGTGTTCCAACATTCCAGACTAGCTCCTCCCTCCACAAGGGCCTCCTCCTCCTTCGCTCCTGCGGGCGCTTGCCTAGCTCCCTAGCTGCCTAGCTAGCGGTGGCCGGCTCCAGCTGCTGCTTGTGCGCGTAGTATGGATGCAAGATACGGGATGCGGGATGCGGAAGATGCAAACGAGAGTCGGGCTCAGTATTCATTCAGTGTTCTTTTCGTGTGCTGCTGCTGTGCTGCTGGTTTGTGTGTTTTTTTGGTTTTTCTGTTAGTCTCTTGCCGCATTCTATGCTTGCTGCAAGTTGCTGCCTCTGGGCGGCCTTCCAGCCAATGCATTTCTGCTAAGCCTCAGCATCTGGACATGGTCATGGGCGTGAGATGCATATGCGTGGGCGTGGCAGTGGCAGTGGCAGCAAGTCAAAAAACAGAAATGCAGCGCAAACGATAAGATGGAATGCAAAACGCGCAACAAGAGAACGCAACGCAATGCAACGCAAAACCAAGAAAAAGAAAAGAAAGGAAAACGAAATTCGAAATTAAATCTCTGCATAAAGAAGCTTGAAAATGATTATCGTTTCAAATACGTAAGGCACTTAATTATACACGTTTAAAAAACATAACTCAAAAAATTAGCATCCGCACAAAATGTTTGTTTGTTTGTTGTTGTTGCTGTATTCGTGTTATTCGGGTCAGCGGGCGAGCGAGCGAGCGAGAGAGAGCAATGATATGGAGATGAATGATGGATAGATGGATGGCTGGCTGGCTGGCTGTCTGGTTAGATGGATGGAGCAGGGACTGGGACTGGGACTGGGACAGAGGCCAGTACCAGTTGTGTTGCAATTAAAAACAATCTCAACGGTGAGGCAAGTGAAAGCTGCCTGGCAGCCTCTGGCTCTCCAATTGAATTCAATTGCTGTGTTGACTCTTCAATTTGAATGAATCGAATGAGAGTTGGCGAGTGCTGGCCTGAGTATTGGGTATTGATTTGGCACAGCCACAGCCACAGTATGGCTAAGGAGGCTACAGAACCATGGAAACCATAACAGACATTCCCTCACACATCTGAGCGGGGCAACGCGGGTGCCAATCGACCAATCGACTGCGACCGCAATGAGTCACGAACGGGATTCAAAGTGGAATTGGACATTGGTTGCCGAGATTTATCAGCAGACAGACCACAACGCCCGCAAGAGCAGCAGCTGGAGCCGCATGACATAAGAGGCGGCTCAAAGAGGCTCAAAGAGGCTGGCTGCCTCTCGAAAGGTGGCGGAGTTCGTTGGCCAGAGTTCGGTGGCAGAGAGCAAAATCAAAGTCAATGTCATAGCCCAGGGGAGGCCCCTCTCTTCAATAATTAAAAATCAATAAGTGGGCACAATGATGATGGAAGCCACCAGACACCAACAGACAAGAGGCCTTGGCTTTGGTTTTCACTTTTTGCCCCAGCGGCGCACCTTGCGATAATTGTCTGAATGGCAGAATCTAAGATCTCCTACCAGGAACTGGGTATCTGGCACATCAAAATGTTGTCATCATTAGATAAGAGCTTGGCTAACTGGATTGTTTGTGTGTTTTCTCATCGATTACTCAAGGGTTTAGTGTGCCCGGTTCCTGTGCCTCTGCCGGATATTAAATGGAGATAAAGACACAGAATAAGTGCAATATTTGTGAGTCATTCTTTCGTTGGCAATAAGAGGGGTTCCGCCAGCGGCTGAAACCGAATCCAAAACAGAAGTGCGAAAGAATTCGAAAAAGATTATGTATGTTTGTGCAAATGCTTCCCACCTGATAAGGCGGATAGGGGGAGGACCAACAGCACCACCACCAAGAAAAAACTTGAAACGTTCGGCTGGCCCCCTGCCAATGAACTGCACGGCGATGCAGCAATGGATTTGGATTTTCTTTGGCTTTTGTTTTGCACTTTTGTTGCCTTGAGGAGCCGCACAGCCAAGACATTGACATAGCCACATTCCCATCTACGGGCACATCCATCCATCCATCCATATCCATAACCATGTCCATTGGCTTGACAACATTTTATTTCGTCAGAGAAGAAAGACACACAGAAAGAAAGAAAGAAAGAGTTGCACGTGCCTGGAGCGGGGTAGTGGGAGGGGGATGGGGAAAGACAAGCCCACGAGTTTATGAGGCGGAAAGTTTTCTTCTGCTTGGATGGGATGGGGATGGGGCTGGAGACGGGGATGGGGTGGGATTGGATGGGCCAGAGAGACGGTAGGCAGTACGGAAGCACTCGGTTCGGTTCGGTTCCATTCGAGGAAGCAGCGAACAGAGAGAACCCAAGGGGAGACGACACACATGCATATGCATATGTATGGGCCCTAAAAACAATCACAAAACAAATTGGAAGCACAAAACGGAGGAGAATTATACTCTGTAATAAGTCGCGAACCGACTCCGGGATCGATTTGAATGGGGGGGCACAGAACAGAACGGAGCAGAACAGAAAGTGGGGCAACCTAAATGTGGCAGAAGGGGGATTGGATTCAGAGTCTGAGTGCAGGAGGAGGAGGAGGAGCAGTGTTATCTGGTGTCGCGCGAGGCAAAGGGCATCAGCAGCCAGCCACAGAAGCCGATGTCAGAGGAAGCCCATCCGCAATGTTTATATAAGATCATTCATTATGTGGGCATTCGAGAGTTGATTAAGCATTTGTTTGTACGGAGGATTGGGGATCGGGACTCGATTTTGGGAGTATTGGCTGTTGCCGAGTGGCCATGGCTGTGGCTATGGACTGTGCCTGTGTCTGTGGCTGTAGGGATGGATGCACGGAATATCTGAGAGCATGAGAGCCGGAGAGCTGCTGCGCATTCTGTGAGCGGTGGTTGGTTTGGTAGTTGCCAAGGATGGACGGGGCGTGATATGGCGATGAACGGTGTTGTGGTGGTGGCGGTGCTGTGGGGAGGGGAGGGGAGGGGAAAGTGGCACAGTTAGCTGTGTGCCGGCGGGCGCTGCAGCATTGCAGAACGGGGCACGAGACCATGGGCTACCCAAAAAAAAGTGTCATTAGGAAAACGCACTTTTGAGGACCAATTTCTAAGGGTTGCTTGCCTGAATGCCTGCCTGCCAGGGTACCCATACCCACCCACCGAGGGAGAGCAGCGGTAAATGCGTACGCACCACCAGGTGCTGACGGAGGAGAGAGCAAGCAAACACAACACACAGGCAAAGAGAGAGAGAGCGGATTGAATGGATTTCAGTCAGCAGGCGAGTGAGGGCGCGAGAGAGAGAGCGATGCAAAGACAGACAGAGAGATAGAGACGAGAGACCACTAAGTGAGAGAGAGAGAGAGAGCAGAGACACAAAACAGGAGCTAAAAGGAGCAGCCGAATATTTTGTGTGTACCTACCGGAGACGACGAGAGATTCGATGGAGACGATGACAACGGGGCACGGCTGCGGGAGCGGCAACCAACGGCAACTCCTATTCCTTGTCTTGTTCCTGATTCCGTGTATTCCGTCTGTGTGCGGTGCGCCTAGCAGCAACCAGCGGCCCCAGCCCCTTTCGTCGGCATCGGCGGTAGAGACTTCACTTTCTTTCCTAGCGGCTCCGGCAGCTGCACTTGCACTTGTACTTGCAGCACCAATGTAATCCAGGGTATTGCACTTTACACACGATTATAATTATAATACTCTCCGATGTGCGAACATATGTATGTATGTATGTAAGCCTTTATGTATGATATGATGTGTGTGTGTGTGCTTGTGTGTGTATTGTATGTACATATGCTGCTAAGGCGGTCGAAAAACACACGAAAGCAAACTAATTCAACACTTTTTACTTAACACCGACAATGCACACGATAATTAGTGCAATTATTGAGACTATTAAACACTTTTGAAGCACTGATTCGCGAATTATTAATTAATTTTTAATGATTTACCGCAGCGAGCCGTTTTTTGTACGTCGCCCATCCGATTTCGATATGTCGGTGGCGATAGCGATACACTGCAGACAATCGGTTCGCCAGAGATGTGCGAACGACGTTTGCGGACATCGATATTTTCGATGTTTTGTTATTATAACTGTTCTGCCTATCGTGTCAACTATCGCCACTTATTGATAGAATAGGGACGTATTAATAAAACAAAAATAAATCATTTAAGCAAATAATTAGTGCAAATAGCCTATAACATGCTTCTAACGAAAATCTAAACACCGATGTATGAGAAAATAGTATAGCGATGACATCGATGTTAACATCGATACAGTACAGTACTGTTTCCAATCGATTAGGTATCGAATACTGTTATTTACACCTGCAATTTGTTTAAAAAACGAATTTGTTGGGAAATGCTGAGCACAGTGAGGGTGGGAGCATGGACAACTCCCCGGCTGACCCGCACCTACACGGCAAAGGCTAAGCGCAGCGTGCTGTCCCAGGACACGACCAAAATAAAGGACTACACGCCGAAGGTGTCGGATCCACACGCGCACCGCGTCTATGTCTGGGGATTCCAGGAGACCGGCGCCCTCGGCCTGCAGACGAGCGTAAAGAAGGCCCAGGAGCGATACACCGAAATGGTCCACCATCCGACACGGCTTCAGTTCTCGAACAACAACGAGATCACAGATGTGGCGGCTGGTTATGGCTTCACCGCCTACGCTGTCCAGCGCTCCGACGGCGAGACGCTCTTTGGCAGCGGCCTCAACACGGACTCCCAGCTTGGTTTCCAGGTGAAGGGCAATCCCAAGGACCCGGCTAACCTGGATGTGATCATATATCCCACAGCCATACGACTGCCGCGGGAGAACGGTGAGACGGACGAGGACATGCAGGTGCGCAGCATGGCCGCTGGCCGGGCCCATCTGGTGGTGGTCACCCGGAATGGAACGGTGTTTACCCTGGGCAATAATTCGTATGGACAGTGCGGTCGTTCCATCATCGACGACGAGAGATACAGCAAAAGCGCACTTATCCACAGGATCGCTCAGGCGGATATCTGCGGGGAGAAGGACGAGATCGTCAGCGTTGAGTGTGGCCAGGACCACACAATGTTCCTCACCAAGCTGGGACGCGTCTACACCTGCGGCTGGGGTGCCGATGGACAGACAGGGCAGGGAAACTACCACACAGCGGGACAGATCACGCTCATCGGCGGCGACATCGAGAAGGAACGAATTGTGCGGCTGACCAGCTCCTCGGACTGTGTGCTGGCCCTCAACGAGCGGGGCGACGTATTCGGGTGGGGCAACTCGGAGTACGGGCAGCTGGACGATTCGGAACACGCCCAGACCCAGATAAACACTCCGCGCGCCCTGCAGCTCACCAAGGGGATTGGTCTCATCAAGGATGTGGCCGCTGGCGGTTCGTTCTGCATGGCCCTGAATGACCAGGGACTGGTATACACCTGGGGCTACGGCATCCTGGGCTTCGGACCTTTTGTAGAGCAGACATCAAAGCCGCAGCACCTGCTGCCTCCCCTCTTTGGACGCAACGATTTCAGCAATGCCACCACCGTGGTCTCCATCGGCTGCGGGGTCTTCCACATGGGCGCCGTCAACTCGGACGGGGATCTGTTCATGTGGGGCAAGAACCGTTTCGGCCACCTCGGCCTGGGCCACAAAAAGGACCAGTTCTTCCCCTTCAAGGCGGCCATAAACGGGAAGGTGACGAAGGTGGCCTACGGCGTAGACCACACCATAGCTCTGTGCAAGCCCTATTTCTAGTCTAATACGAAAATAAACGACCTTAGAGATGGCTTAAAGATCACAAATTCGCGTTTAATACATTTAAATACTTTAAAGAACATTTAGAGTAGTGTTTCTGTTTGTTTCTTTTTGATAGTTTTGTTCTGATTTCGATCTCTAATGTTTTCCTTCCGTAAATAGCTGTCGATCTCATGTGTTGTCGTTCTTTACATTAATTGTTAGATAGTTAAAGAGCATATACTATATAAAATATGTACTTGGAATGGAATGCTGTATGCCTTGTCGTGCGTCATTTTCCTTTGTTGCGGGGAGGGGGGCGTATATGTTTTCTTTTTGTATGAGTACCGCGTCCAAATACCCCCACCCCTACTCCTACTAATCTCCTACTGCCTGGCTGATTCATTGCTTTCTTTCGTATTTGTCACAATTTCTTCAATCGCATTTTGATTGCGTTCTAGGTACATTTTTTCGCTTTTTTAGCTTCTTTACTAAGAAGTACGTACGGTGTCTATGATTTGCTAAAACTCTTGCGCGATCCCACGAGCGCTATCGCTCGCAGAGATCGTCGATTGGCCAATGGATATACACTCTTCTGTTCTGTTCTTTTCGGTTCGGTTCGATTCGGTTCTGTTCGGTTGTCTGTGGCCGCAGGCCCTGTCTGTCCGTGTTGTAACCTGATTTAATAAGCATTTACCTCAAACTGGCGACTACAAACAGATCGATCTTCGTTATATATAAATCAATTCTAATTAATAATTTTTTTAGGTTTGTGTTATTTTATATGTAGTGTAGCTTAAAAGGTTCGCTGCTCTCCCCAGCACCTCCTCCTCAGGCCACTTGCTGTGCAGCCTCGCTCGCCTCGTAGGCCTCCACCTCGGCTATGTTGGACAGATCGTACTCGATGACGCCCTTGCCCATGAATTCGGCATATTTTCCGGCATCCGGAAGAGGATCGGCCGACCGCTTGGACACTGCAATAAAGAATAGTGTGAGATAGGTGCTTGGTTCATGGTTGCATGCCACTTACCGCCTGAGATAAACTTCTCCATCATGTAGACCTTCATGTCGTAGCACTCGTTGGCAATGCGCTCCGAGATGAGCGAGAGATCGGTGATGCGGGGCGTGATCACGCGCATGTTACGGCGCACTCGCTCCGTGTCAATGTTGTAGTATCCGGTGCCCATCTTCTTCATCAGGTCGACGAAGCTGGTGGGTGGAAGGGTGGTCTCCCGGTCGAGGGGCATGATGAAACACCGGTTGGTGGTGGTGTCAATGATGGCCGACTGGTTCTCCTTGAAGTCGTGCATGAATCGTCCGCGGCGTCCGTCCTTAAAGTCCGGCACATCGATCTTCGCGTATCCCTCCTCATCGCTGCTGTCCAGCTCGATCTCCTCACGGAAGAAGTTATCCTCATCGCCACCGAATCGCCGCTCCAGGCCAGTGCCGTCGACGGAGCTGGCGCCGCTAAACTGCGGCAACAGAGCCCGCCAGTTGATCTGGGCGAACCCATCGTCGCTGCGTGGATAGAAGCGTGGCATCTCGATCGAGTCCTCAGGATATGGAATCTCGCAAAGTGCGTGGTAGCGCATGTTGGCGTGCGGGGGGGCGTACAGCCTGTAAAGGGTCCAGCCGCCCAGCACTCCCATCATCATGACCACCATAGCGATTAGGAAGAGCAAGAACGACTTGACGCAATGGTGTTGCGGCCGATTGAAGACCATCGACTCGGCATCGGCCTCGGAGTCATTGTAGGCACCTTTGGGCTGTGGGTTTTGCCATATCGCACTTAGTTAACAGAAAATATAAAATAATTGCTCCCCAGACGAACTCCAGAGCTCCAGGGAACACTAAGAGAAGTGATAACACGCCTCGCTTGCACTCACAAAGAAACCAGAACGGGGCTGGTGACAGATTGCATTACTGCTAGCGATCACAGCACAGCCGTTGGGTCGGATAAACTGTACCATTCAAGAAAGTAGTGCGCAAGCAGTTATCGGGGGCACTGTGTTTACGACGAGCGGGCAAAGGGCGATTGCAAAAAAGAAGACAAAGAATGGGTGCATGGTTTTTCCACGGGCCATATTCAGGGCCACCATCTGCGTGCCAGGCAATCAACAGGAAGAAAATCTGACCTCAAGGAAGCAGTGGGCGGGAGTGGGAGTGTGAGTGCGAGTCCTTGGGGGAGACCAGGAAAAAAGTGAATGAGCACACGTCATGGGGGTGGCCTGTCAACAGCACTGCTTGCGAAGGAAAAAAGAGTGCAAGGCCAGCGGGAATTCCAGCATGGAAAAATCAATAGATATGCATGTCAGGCTGCCGAGCAGAAGCTGGGCCTCCCCCAGAGACGAACACGGGAATTTGGGCCACCCAACAACCACCACCCACCATAGAACAGCTCCCATCGAATCCACCAAAAGCACGAGAGTACTCACTCGTCTCGTCGTACATATGGCGACTTATGTCGCACGAGGCGAAACGAAACTTGTAGCTTTATGGGGCCGAAGGACAGTGGAGACTCGGGGCCCCGCAAGGACACGAAAACGTTGCGCAAAAAGTGCCAATTTAATTGGATAAACTTACTGCGATTAGCGAGCCATGATGCATCAGAGCCTCATCGTTGAGGTTCATCGGCAGTGGCACCTTCTCCTGGTCCTTGGGTTCGCCCCTCAATTTCGCCAGAATAGTCATTGTATCCGTTTTGTGGTTTTTTCACGGAACTGTGCTCGAATCTAAACAGAAAACAAAGTTTTTCTCTGGTACGGAAAATGTTGGTGCGCAATTTGTGTCGCAGTCTGACCATCAGAAATATACCGAAATATACCGTCTCACTTTAAAAATATACCATAAATATACTGACGAGTTTAAGCTCTATTATACATATTCCTCGTTTTTGATATTCCGTGCAATATATCTAACTAAATAGAACTCTCAGCCATGCCCACATTGACTAGTTTTCTTTAAACACTTGCTTTTATTTCATTTTGCGTAAAAAGAGGTTTTAGCGAAAATGGTCAAACAAAAAAAAACGAAAGAGGATAGTCGTTCCTATTGTTCAATTTTGATATTCCGTCGAATATTATTAGCTAAATGAAATCTGTAGAAACGATCAAGAATTTGATGCCGATCATGGATTAGTATTGGACGTGGCTGGGACATGGCTCTAAATGGCGTTCATATCCTCTATACTGGAAAATACTATCAAACATTTGCAAGGTGACCGCGGTCAACAATGAGTTAAATTGCCTTGTCTAGATTTTGATTTAATATTACTAGTAGCTAGGACCCTCAGTCTTGAGGAAATATTTGTATCCAGTTGATGGATCAATTTTCTACAATACATTTTCATTTTTGGGACTCCGAGTCAAATTTCAAATAGAGCGGAAATAGTAGTGATGGGGGATAGATATCGGTGTGAACAATCGAATGGAGGGAAAAGCTGGAAATCGAATATAGGCTGAAATTTAAAACCAAATAGAAAATTCGTTTTTCCTCTGGCTTGACGGAAGATTTATTCTGCTCTACATACTGTATGAACTCTTACAACTTACATATACCAATAACCACGGCACTAGGCACTATTTATGACTATGTTGATTTGAGAGAAAAATTCCTAGTTTTTATTTCATTCTGATCGATGCGTTCGGGCACTGGAGAGAAACGCGAGGTGGCCCTTGGGACACTTGTTGGCATAGTGCCCCTTGTGCCCGCACTTGTAGCAGGTGATCTCCTCCAGCGGCGTTGGTATTTTCAGGAATGGTGGAGGCGGATGACTAAGAGGGCCGTCGTCGTTGCCATCGCCGCCACTGTGGTCCATGGCGTTGATGTTGTTGCGGTTCTCCAAGCTACCCGCGTATTGCTTGCACGAATTGGCCTTATGGCCGAGCTCGCCGCAGTAGTGGCATGTAGGTAGCTTCTTGTGTAGCTGATCCTTGCTGAGGTCAGCCAGGGGCGGCAGCTCGAACCGCGGGTGCATATGCTTGCAGTTGGGTCCTTCCGGGCAGAAGCCGGCCAAGTAGTTCATGCAGAGCACGCGCCGCAGATGCTGATGGCGACAGTGGGGGCCGTGGCGGCAGAAGCCTCGCTTGTACCAGGGGCAGTCTTTGACCTTGCTCTGCGGGTCGATGTGCAGGAAGGGGCACTCCTTGTTGTGGCAGGCATTGAAGCGGGAGTAGAAGTAGCATTCGGGCATCTTGGTCATGTCGTACTCGTGTAGGAACTCGCACTGGTCCCCCTTCTTGCAGAGGCCGCGCAGCCAGTGCTTGCAGACGATGGTGCGGTCGCCACGTATGTGTCGGAACGGGCACGCGCTTCCCTTGTCGCACTCCTGACCACTTCTTGTGATGAAATTGCAGACGGCAGCGATGGACTTGTCCATGCCATAGAACGGGAGCGGAATGGCGCCCACCTGCTCGATGAGATCCCGCTCCGCCTTGAACTGCAGGCTGTTCACGTTGGCCAAAAGTATGTCCATGACGATGGTGATGCGGCACTTACTGCATAAACAAAAAGTATTTTCTTCCTTTTTTGCGCGTGTTGTTTTGTTTAGTGTCAGCTAGAGATGTGCAATGCCGGCACGATGCATCGATAGAGCTCTCCTGCCACGATACGATACGAGCCTCGATTTTCATTTTGCTGTAAAAGGGGATGTTTTATCCGCCTCGATGAAACAGCTGTTCAGTCGTCATTACATAAGATCCATTTGATCAGAAATTTAAATTAACTTGGCTCATTTTCCATTCCATTCCAGTCCATCTATTTTATCCATATCATATCGCAAATCTGTGGCTCATCTCTAGTGTCGGTCGATAGCTATCTAGTCTTATCGATCAATTTGTTTACCATTTTCTTGCAATGTTTACAACGTAGGCATTTGCTTAATAACAGTACATTTAGAGCTGATTGGGTGCAAAAAAAGTATGTGAACCGCGCCCCGCCATCATCTGACCACCGCCTCCCCGCCATGTTGCCCACGTACGAGCGCCTGAACGACCCCAAGAACGTTTTCTTCCGAATGCCCTTTGCTAGATTGGCTCTTGCTGCCCTGAGCCTTCCCCTTGGTGGATTCTTCTTCTGTGTGGTATGGTCGCTGCTCTTCGACTTTGTACGCTCCACCTACACGCACTGTGACGTGGTCAACTACCTGCCGTCGGTGTCGGCTGCCATAGGAAACTATGAGCCACAGAAGACGATATGGAGGTTGGCCATCTTCCTGCACCTGCCCCTGCGGCTGGCGGTGGCCAAAATTTATTTGGAGTACTACAAGGAGCACATCAGGCGGAGCCGACGACTGCTCGGCATCCTGGCCTGCTTCCTCAATGTAGTGGAGGATCTTGCCCTGTTCTGCCTGTCCTTTTGGACATCCGCAGACAGCTATGAAACACACCGCAACGCGTTCGTGGTGTTCATTGCGTGCAGCGAGTGTTACATGCTGATGTCATACCTCCTCAACAGGAATGCGCGCAAGGTGGTGCTGTTGCCGCACGAAGAGAAGTCACTGCGCTATAAGCGCAACCTCTTTCTTGTCAATGTGCTGGCCTTCGGGCTCGCCGGATACTGCTTTGTCCGGCACAACGCCCGCTGCGAAGCGGGGGGTGAGTGCGGCTCTCCTGCGGAAATCAGTTGAATAATGTTACTAATGTCTATGCCATTTCCAATTGCAGTCTACACCTTCTTCGCACTCTTCGAGTACATTGTTGTGCTCACCAACATGGGATTCCATATGACCTCCTACTGGGACTTTTATGCGCTCAACGTTGTCTGCGACGCCAAGCACGGCCTCTACCTAACCCAATTCTAGATAGCCATAGCGATAGCGATATCATAACCCTCCCTTAAAGCACATTCACGTCCGACCAGCCACTCTCGAGTATTCTGTACATACGCGGTATTAGCTTAAGCTCAAAGTTTACTTAATTTTACCAAAGGAAACTAGTTTCGGATTCCGATTCCCTAAACGGCCTAGTTTTCCCTAAGATCAGTCATAAGATCATTGCATTATTATTTATACAAAATATTTTGGTATTTAGATGGCTTTAAGGTTGGCTCGACCAGCATCGGATGGTTCTATTAGACACATAAGCATACGAATGTCTGCAACGGATTTAAGGCTCCACCACCATCGGGTGGGGTGGTTCTATACTTTATATTTAAGAATATCCTCGCCTCCTCGGTTTTGTTTTGTTTAAAATTTAGCTCAATTCCATGTCTGTATGTATGTATATGTCAAACTTTTTCAATTGGATTTCTATCGATTGTGTGTTGAAACCGAAAATTTACAAATAACACAGTTTGCTTCGCATTTTGCATTTGATAGTTTTATTTACGACAACGCCATGCCCCAGATTCTAGAGCTGCCTACTTCCGTGAAAGATGTGCAGACCAAGAGCCGCGTCCGCATTCGTATGGGCCCTTTGCTCGCTGCTGCCCACGCGTTTTCAGCGATCTCCATAATGTTCTACCTCTTAATAGCTATCCTGACAGACTATGAGGTGACCACGCACACCAAGTGCACAAGACTGAACGTGTTTCCATCCTTGTCGGCAGTGGCCAAATCCCAGTACATCGGCTGGCGGGTAACCTGCGTCACGACCCTGCCGTTTGGTCTACTCACCGGCTGGCTCTACTTTCGCTACTATCGACGAACTCTTCCGCGCCAGGTGCGCTCCTTTGGCTACCTAGTGGCTCTGTTCATCTTCCTGATGGTAATAACCATCTTGCTGTGGGGCATCTATCCGAACATCGATGGCGATTCGACGCTTCACAGGGCGATAGCCATCTCCCTCTTCGTTTGTGGGGCCATCTTAATGGCCGGATCTTTTCTTTGCCACAAGTACTATATCTGCGACGGCAAAGAGTCCCCGGAACAGCTGGGCGATTGGCTGAAGCGCAAGCTGTTCGTCACCTACTTCGCCTCTGTTCCAGTCACGTGGCTCTGCTACTTTCTTCACGAGGAGTTCTGCTTTCCCTTTGGTGAGTGTGGCCCAGGGCAGACGTCGTGCTGAGTCAACTACTAATCCGTTGAATCTTTGCAGCCTATTCTGTGTTTGGCATCTCCGAGTTTGTCAACATTTGCACCGTTTACCTATTCATGTCCTTCTCCAACTACTTTGACTTCTACAACGTCCACATCTGCCACGACCAGCGGCTGGGCTTCTTCCTCAGCGAATTCTGATTCAGATGTATTTAACAAATATTCTCTATAACAAAATAAACACTCAGACTTATGGCTACGCTACGTTTCGTAAATGCGCACGAGGTCGTCCAGACTGATGGGATAGCTCGTCACCGGACATGTGCCGTGCTCCTTCATGTGGCTGATGATGCACTTCCAGCAGAAAACATAGCCCGAAACGGAGCACGCTGTTGGTGTTTGCAGGGGAAGCAGGCAGATGGGGCACTTGCCTATCTGGGGCAGCGTCTGCTTCACCTCCTCGGGAAGATCTCGCTTTTGCATGGCCTCGGGGTTCTGCAGCGTGCCGCCGACCTTGCGGCGTTGATCGTTGGAGTACCACCACTGGATGAACTGCAGGAAGAAGGCCAGCACCTCCAGCATTTTCAGGAATATGTAAGTCCACTTGTCCTCCTGAGGCGGCTCACTCGGGTATCGCAGCGTGAGGCGCATGGCACGGAACAGCGGCGAATGGCTGGATGCCTTTTTGATGAGGTATGCGAATGTGTGAACCGCCTTTGAAGCGTTGTAGGCATGAAACAGATTGATTAGGTAGGACTCCCATGCGTAGGTGTCTTCGTGCTGGGCGCTGCGGGACCGCAGCTTGCGCTCTATGTACGGCAGGAAGGTCAGCAATGTGGCGGAGGTGAACTGTTGGTGTCGAGTCAAGAGCTCTCCCGTCCCAGTGGCTGTGCGCTGCAGTCCGTAGAAGCTCTCGCCGAAGGAGGAGGCGCGGTTCCGCAGGTAGAGGTACTGCAGGATCCAGGTTAGCAGCGGCGACAGCTCCTCCCGCACTCGCAGGTTGCCCCAGAGTTTAAAGTCCAGCCGCAGGCCAAAGTAGTCGAAGATTTTACTCAGCGCCGGGTATATCAGGTTGTCCAGCGTCTCCGCCGCTGATATTTCAAAGATCGACGGCACATTCTGCAGATTCTGGCGCACGTTAGCGGCTTCTGCCATGGCTATTGGATGTCACCAGAGTGTCTTGTTAATGGAGAATAAAAGTGGAGTAATAAATAAATCAAATCAACAGTTTGTTAGTGTTGCAAAGCGGGGAATATGTATAAAAGACTATGAATTCTTCAGTATATTTACGGTATATTTTGAAAATAAGACGGTATATTTCGGTATATTTCGCACACACTGCATCTCCAGCGAGTTGTTTATTTTTCCGCCGATCAAATGGTTAATATTTAAATTGATCCGTAGAGCTGATCCCGAGGACACAATGAAAACCCCTGGTGCCGCCAACCCAGACCCAGAGCTGAACAAGTCATCGCACAGCAAGGTCAGCAAGAAGTCCACAAAGTCCCGCTCCAAGTCCACAAAGTTGGAGGTGGGAGGAAGCAAAATCTCGGCTTCTGGCCCGGGATCGGCTGTGGGCGTAGGAGTGGGGGTGGGCAGTCTGCCCGCCACGCCCACCCATGTACATTTGGTAACGACACCCACAACACCGACTTCTAGCCATGCCAACTACAACATGTTCGATGCCTCCTTTGCGGTGGCCGGCGGAGGACACGGAGTGTCAGGTGTCTCTGCAGCTGAGGCCTCGGGCAACACCAGTCGAATGGTTTGTTATTGTTACGCCTAGTGATTCCCTTGCCGAAGCTCACTTTTCTATTGTTTCCAGAGTCATCACAAAAGCTACGCAGGCTTCGACCCTCGCAGCATAAAGATCTTCTGGGAACAGCACGACCAAACGGACGTGGAGTTGTCCCAGGACGTGTGCGCCCGGCTTGCCGAGGATGCATCCTACAAAGTCTGGGAACTAATCAATGTATGTTATGTCCATTCCAGCCGTATGTCTCATTAATAATCATTCTCCATATTGCAGAACGTGAAGATATACTCGCGCCACTCGGGCGGAGTGGTGACCTACGATCTAGTCAATGAGGTGCTCAAAGATGCCGATGTACCCCCCATGCTGGGCGCCATGGACAGCGACTGGGATCGCATTGACTACGACGGAAGCTACTACTATCACTCGGATAAGATTTTCGAGCTGCGGGACGAGTTCCAGAAGGAGATTAGCCTTAGCCTGCCAGACGACGCAGACTTTCACAGTTTGTGCCCCGTGGAGGACAAGCATACGGAGCATCTGAAGCAGTCTGTCCAGAGTCTGGTTACAGGTTGGTTCTGCTGCACCACAATTTTCGTTAAAATAACTTTAATCTTGAAATTCTCTCTAGCTGCTCTATTTGCCGACAAGAAGACCCAGTCCTCGGCGCTAGCCTTCGCCGTTCAGACGCCATTAATGGGTTCCATCTATCGTGTCATAGTCAGCAAGATGCTTCAGCTACTGGCTTTCAAGCAGCAAGAACAACTGAGCCGACGTTGCTGGCGGCTGCTCCGCGCCTGTAACTACAATTCGCAGGCAAACCAAAACGCCTGTCGCCAGGAGTACTTCCACCTGGCCGAAGTGCTCGTCAGCCAGCTGATGGCGCCCTACGAAACTATAAAGGCGCCTCCGGAGGCCAGCGAAAACACAGTCCAAATGGAGCTTGAGGAGCCGCTCAAAATAAAGCCAGAACAATTCCCCGACCCAGGAATGGATGTGTGCAAGCAGGAACCTCAGGAGCAGCAGCAGCCACAGCCACAGGAACAAGCTGCGTTTCCCAGCGATGCTGCGCAGCAGCAGCAGCAGACCATATATAAGATCAAACACGACGACGACACTAATGACGCTAAGCCGGAGCCCCAGCATCTGTCCAGCTATTTCGCCAGTCCCGTTGGAAACGGGCTCGTGGACGAAGTTTGCGAAACGATTGGCCAGCTAGCCTCCCAGAGCGGCTACCTCCATGCCGAGTGCCTCTTCCTGATCAAGCGGCGGCTGGTCAGATTCTTCGCGGGTCGCGACGTGTGCAGCGAGAGGGGTGCGTTGTCCTTGTGCCCGGATCCGACTCTAAATATAATATTTCGGATCTCCTTTAGATTTCCAGTACATCAGCCGAGCAGTGCGTGGACTCATCGCCCTGGGGGCGTACGCGTTCCGTGAGTTTATTCCTTACATCTACAAACTGAATGCAGATGTGATACCGGATAGCCTGTGGCAGGACCTGGCACCGGCTGCCGTCTTTCTCGAGGGAAGCGACGATATATACCTGTACGAGTGGCTGGAGCACGGCTGTGGGGCTTCCAAGCTGCAGCCGTTTATGGTTCACTATGCCTGTAAGTAGAACACGCATACCATACCCCATCCGCCATACTAAAGCTCGTGTATTATAGGTGCATACGAGGAGCTCGTGACCCGACGCTATGTGCGGGCCAAGGCACCAGTCTACCGAATCGAGGCGACACCCGGTGTACGTCGGCTGGAGTGGAGCACCTTGGCAGCGGCCATGTGTCACGGCGACGATCCGAGCAAGGCGCTCAAGCCGAAGCCTACACTAAGGGAAGCCTTTCCAGAACTACAACTGCCGAATCTTCGGCACAACTGCTCCGGCAGCATCCGCTTCAAGTTCGCGGGATGCCGTCCCATGCTGCTCAATGCCAAGGCATTGCCCCGACCACAGGCAATGGATTCGCCATCAACCATCAACGGGGGCAGTGGCAGTGGCAGCAACTCTGACATACTCATCGCCAGACGCAAGCTCTTCAAGCCGCTGACAAATGTGAGACGAGAGGTGCCCACCAGTGGGTATCACTACCTTAGGATCTGAATCGGATTCAGGAACACCACGAATCGATCTGTATCTCAGGGTCCTGTATTCTGTGGGGATCTCAATCGCAAACCCTCTAATATTAAGTCAAAAGTCACGAAATAAATACGTATTTATTATCAAGTTAATTCCTGCCTGGACTGCAGTTCCTGATGATAAATGTACTTCAGATGAATACTGTTCGGAGGCCGAATCACCTGGTAATATAATCTAGAAGATTGGCGTTTAAAAACACATTTTATTCTCAACAAAACAGATAAAACTAAAAGGGCTCTTCTTGGGCCTGGGGTGGCAGCGACATGCCCGCCGCCTTCATTTCGGCCATTAATCGTTTCTTGATGATATTCGCAATGTTGGCATTGACATCCGGCAGCAGTCCACCGGTGCGGGCCGCATGCTCTATTCTCTGGACAACATCGATCTCGCGGCGGGAGGAGACGAAGTTGGAGACCAGCGACTTGTCCGTGTTTCCCACTCGCCCGATGCGGCCACAGCGATGGATGTAGTCGGAGACGTGCAGGGGAAAGTCAAAGTTCACGACATGACGCGCCCTCGTGGTGTCCAGACCACGACTGCCCACGTCTGTGGTGGAGAGCACGTCGCAGTGGCCGCTTTGAAACTGCTCGAAGCGGCCCAGGCGGATCTTCATGAGCATGTCGCCGTTCAGATTGAGGCAGTTTACGCCGCTGTTATTCAGGAAGATGGACACATAGTCGCTGGTGGCCGATTTGTTGCTAAACACGATGATGGGGCGACGTTTGGCCAGATCCTGCTTTACTAGGGTCAGCAGATGGCCCGGCCGATCCGCCTTTGGCATGCGCAGGAATTTCTGCGTGACATGCGGCATCAGGTGGTGCAGATGCGGACTTACTACCTCCTGAATGGTGTCCACGTCGATGACGCGCTCCAGAATCTCGCGAATGTTTGTTGGCATTGTGGCCGAGGCCAGGACAAGCTGAGTGCCCAATGTCCGGGCATCCTGCCTTTGGACCATGTGGAACTGTAGTGGAAATAAGATATGATTTACAACCTGCGTAAAAGGATTAGCGCCAACATACGGGGAATCTCCTAAGAAAGTACGTTAGTTTGTCAGTGAAGCTGTCGTCCAGCAGTGTGTCTGCCTCGTCCAGTACCACATGGCGCACCTGCTCCATGCGGTAGATGCCCGTTGTCACCAGCTTGCTGAGAGCACCCAGCGTCGCCACCAAAACATCAACCTCTTGGAATTCCGGGTTCATCATCAGTTGCTTGGTGCTACCGGAAGAGGTGAAAAACATTACGTTACATACTAATTAGGTAATTAGTAATACACACGACGCACCTGCCGCCCAGCAGAGCCTTCACCTTGAGATCTGTGCCCTGGCAGAGGTTCTCGGCCACCTGGGCAATCTGCGTGGCCAGCTCGCGGCCCGGCGTCAGTATCAAGGCTCGCGGCGTGTTGAAGCTTCGCTCTGTGATCTCCCGCTTCAGCAGTCTGTCCAGGATGGGCAGCATGTATGTCAGTGTTTTGCCGCACCCCGTTTCGGCAGCAATCAGGGCATGGGAGTTGCCGTGGACAATTGGCAAGCCCTTGACCTGTATTCCCGTAAGCATCTTGATGCCGAGTTCATTCTGCAGGTTTTCTAGTAGCTTCGGGTGGAGCGCCAGTTGGCCACTGTCTAGGATGCCCGTCGTGCTCTGCATCTCCTGCTGCAGCTGCTCCCCACTGACGCTGGCGTTCAGGGTGAAGTGGTCGCCCTTCGACTTATTGTGCAGCCATCCCTTGGACGCTAGGGCCAATGTCCCGAACTTCGCATCCGCCCGCTCGTGTTGCATCAGATTGAACTGCGTCCGACCACATGTGATTAGCGGCTTTGGTTTATCCCGCGCCTTCTCTACCCTCGGCTTTATTTTCACTGCTACCGTGGCTGTGGCTGCAGTCGCCAGATGCCTGGAGGTCTGCACCCGCAGCACCAGAGAAAGATTCAGCATGGTTGTGTCCGTAAATTATCCAATGTTTTTATTTAAAACGGTGCGCGGGCGCGGGGGTAGAACAGCTGTTAACAAAATATGCTTTCGCAACACTATTGCAGGTTACCAGTGCTGTTATTGATTAAAAAATTATGCTGCTTGTAGAACTTGAATTCGTCAGTATATTAACGGTATATTTTGGAAACGAAACAGTATATTTTGGTATATTTCTGAGGGTCACACGGTACTACTAAATATTTAGAGAAAATTTTTTTTGTTCATTTTCAGAGAAAGAAAATTTGAACTCCAAAAATGTCTAAAAACGACGTTACGGAGGAAGATTCTGGACAGAAGAGATCGAAAAACAACGAGAATGATGATGCTGCTGATTTTGATGCATCAAAATCGTTGACAATGTCATTCTTGGACTGGAAAAAATGCAAGGAAGCCCTCAGGCCAGATGCAACACAGCGAAACAACAGCAGCGGACGTAAACAATGGTCCCAGAACGACAACAGAAACTTCAACAGTGGAAATGTGAACCAATGGAGCAACCACCAGGACAGAAACAATATTCCACCGCTCAGTCGACCGCCACCGCTGCCCTTGCAGTTGATGTCAATGGGTCTGGGGTTTGGAAGTAATTTCGGATCGGGTCCTTGCAACGGCCCCCCACCACCCAATATGCCCAACTGCAATATGGGAAACATGGTAATGGGCATGGGTGGGCCAGGTGGACCAGGCCCTGGACCTGGAGCGCGCCGAAATAATGGCAACATTCAAGGGCCACTGCAACCACCTCCTTTTTGGGATGACATGATGTCGCCCAATCATCGACCGCCCATCCAGCCGCCAATGCCCAAGTGCCCTAGTCTCTGGAACCTTGTGCCCAAGGATAAGGGCCAGCGGCAGAACCGCACCAACCAGACACCCAACAAGAAGTACAAGCTAAACAGCAACAGCAAAAACGTGGCCAAGGATACGTACCTGATGCCTCCGCCACCCCCGCCGCCGCCGCCTCCGCCATCTGATGGTGACACTAACAGCAACGCCAACGTCAACAAGGACGCTTCCACATCGAACGGCGGACAGCCAACGAAAAAGAAGCGAAGCGGTGCCTTTATTCAAATCAACGGACAGTGGATACAAAAACCGGAGGCACCTCTGCCCCTCGAAGATTCGCCGCCTGGCACGAAAGAGGATCGTCAGCGTCAGTGGAAAGAGTATCGCCAGGCGATGAAGCCGTTCAAGAATCGCGAATTCCACAACTGGAAGAGAACTGTACAGCGACTGGGCAAGCTGCCGCGCGAGGAACTCGACGAACAGCAATTGGAGCGGCTGCAAAAGGCCGAGGAGTACATTGGCGCCCACAAGGCAATGCTGACCATCAAGCATGCCGAGCGCTGGGTGCAGCAGGACAATCAGAAAAGCAATGATTCCGACAAGACCCAGGTCTATGTGCGTCGCCAGGGCACGCCGAGTTTTTGGGACAAATCGAAGCAGAGGCAAGGCCAGGCCAGCAATGGATTCCAGCCAGGGCAGCAGCTGGACAGTGAGCCCAAGAAGCCATTCGTAGCCACTGGCCGGGCGATCAAGGGCGGCTTTCCGATGGATTCCCAGTCGCAGGTGCAGTCCCAGCCGCAGACAATGCCCATGGGACAATATAATTCACAACATCAGCAGCGGGAAAACAACTACAACAGCGGCAGCGCCATTAGCAGCAGTAATTCGTTTGGAATGGTATCCAACACGAGCAGGCCGAACTCCTCATATTACAGCAACTACAGCAATAGCTTCGTGAAGGGCGACATGGTGCTGCCCCCCTAGAACAGTTGCCAGCCAGTGAGCTGGAGCGAGGGCTTTACCTAGTTAACCGATTGGCACCGCACCGCACCACCACCGATTGCGACGGCAACTTCGATACGAACACGGCACCGGATAAGACCCGAGAGGATAACCCCAGGAGAGTACACAAGGTCGGCGGGTAGATACACGGGTCACTGCCCCGACAGCAGCAGTATTTGTATTCAGATAAATGTAACAAAATCTCATCCTAAAACTAATTGCTCTTGGTTGTGGTATTTTTATTGCGACTGCGCCTCGGCTGGGTTTCGTCCAAGGGAGGAAGGCCCAGGAGCTCGCGACGCTTGCGTTTTCCCCTCAGGATGGCCTCCTTGAAGAGATTGCAGTAGAGCTCCACGGCGGCTGGGGAATCGTCGTTGCCGGGCACCGGATAGGTGATCAGATTTGGATTGCAATTGCTGTCCACAATGCCGACTGTGGGTATGGCCATCTTGGCCGCATCCCTCACTGCCGTGTGCTGGGACATCACATTGTTTTGGGTATTCAGGAAAATGCAGAGATCTGGCAGGCGGGTAACCGCATCGAACTGCACATTGGCGTTGGTGAAGATGCCGCCCCGCCAAAAGCGCGTGTGCGAGAACTCGCCGGCCTCCAAGGCCTTTTGCTCGACCAGGTGGGCATTGAGGGCGTTGCGATTGAAGAACAATATGATTCCATCACGGAAGGCTATGTGAGCCACAAAGTTAAGGGCATCCCGCAAATGCACGGCTGTCTTGTCTAAATCGAAGATCAAATGACCCAGGCGATTACCATACAGGTACGGACGCATGCGGTCGTCCAGGGATCCCTCTTTGTGGCCATAGTGCACGCGTGCATTGAACAGGTCTCGCACGGTGAACAGGTTGTGCACCTGGAAGTAGTCCGGATGCTTCAGAATCCGCTGCTCTATCACGGCAATGTCTTCGGGCTCGGCATCCGCGGATACTGTGGTTGTAATTGCTGGCGCTGCCTCTGCCTGTGTGCTCTGAAGCCGTCGCGGAAGGCCGCATAGCTGACTAAAGCGGGGCACTACGGACCAGAATCATTTAAAAGTAATTTTCACCAAAGTTTTCATTAACTACTTACAGTTGCAAAGTGTTTTTCTCAACATTTTAACGCGGCTCGTGTTTTCATAACCAATCTTCTTCTTGCCCTTTTGCGAGTCCCACAGAACAGCTGTTGTCTAGTGTTGTGTATTCCACAATTTAATATGTACTTTTTTTTACTGCGACACGGATCAGCTGTTTCTCGCTGCATCTCGCTGATTAAGCTGTAAACTTTTCTTTGCCAAAGAATAGCAATGATTGGATTTTTAAATATCTATTAGCAAAGCAACATGGAAATTCAGCAGACGTCCCCCAGCCTGGCCGTATCGGATACGAACAGCACCTGCGAGTACCTGGATGCAGAGGGCGAGCCGGATCCCAGCGATGTGGACAGCAATTTGTACGAGGAGGCGGATCACGATCAAGAGGCTGACCAACAGAAACATAGTATTATCTCTGCGCTACGTGACGGACTGGGGCCAAATGCTAGCTCCACCAGCACCATCAGCCCGGAGCCAGGAAAGTCCAAGGGCCTGGCCGCATCCGTGGAATCCCTAGCCCTAAGTACTTCCACCAGCGCCAAGACGGAGGATAGCAGCAGCAGCTGCGCCGTCTTGGACGACGACCAGCACGACTATCAACACGACAGCGTGTGGCGCGGACGGAAGAAGCACATCTTTATACTCAGCGAGGCGGGCAAGCCGATCTTTTCGCTCCACGGCAACGAGGACAAGCTGGTCACCCTCTTTGGAGTCATTCAGGCCCTGGTCAGTTTCGTGCAGCTCGGACAGGATGCCATCACGTCCATACATGCGGGCGGCATCAAGTTCGCCTTCATGCAGCGCAGCTCGCTCATCCTGGTGGCCGCAACGCGCACCAACATGAGTGTGCAGCAGTTGCATCTGCAACTGGGGTGAGTGATTCACTAGAATTTAAGCGAAGGCCACAACTGATGATTCGGATTTAAATTCTAGGGATGTCTACAATCAGATCCTATCCATACTGACCTACTCACACATGACGAAGATATTCGAGAAGCGCAAGAACTTCGATCTCCGTCGTCTGCTCTCCGGTAGCGAGCGGCTGTTCTTCAATCTTCTGGCCAACGACAGCAGCAGTGCTCGCGGTGAGGCTCGATCCACATAGGATCCAGTGATCTACTATCCCCTTAATATCTCTGTCTTTCGTTTGCAGTGTCCAACAACATCTTCACATTTTTGACCAACTCTATCCGCGTCTTCCCGCTGTCGACGACAGTTCGGTCGCAGATAACCGGCGCCATACAGAGCAACTGCTCGAAGATCAAAAATCTGGTGTTTGCCGTGCTGATAGCCAATAATAAGCTGATTGCATTGGTGCGCATGAAGAAGTACTCGATTCATCCCGCAGATCTGCGCCTGATTTTTAATCTGGTCGAGTGCTCGGAGTCCTTCAAGAGCTCCGAGAACTGGTCACCCATCTGCCTTCCCAAGTTCGACATGAACGGGTATCTGCATGCCCATGTCTCTTATCTGGCCGACGACTGCCAGGCCTGCTTGCTGCTGCTCTCAGTGGATCGGGATGCATTTTTCACGCTGGCCGAGGCCAAGGCCAAGATCACCGAGAAGCTGCGCCGAAGCCACTGCCTGGAAGCCATCAACGAGGAACTTCAGCAGCCGTTCAATGCTAAACTGTATCAGCAGGTCTTGGGCATTCCCGAGCTGCGACACTTCCTGTACAAGCCCAAGGCGACCGCCCAGCTGCTGTGTCCCATGCTCAGGCATCCGTACAAGTCGCTGCAAGAGTTGGAGCGCCTCGAGGCGATTTACTGCGGTCTGCTGCATCGCATCCACAACAGCTCCCGGCCGTTGAAGCTTATCTACGAGGTGAAGGAGCGCGAAGTAGTGTTGGCCTGGGCGACGGGTACGTACGAGCTGTACGCCGTCTTCGAGCCGGTGGTTGACAAGGCCACGGTGATCAAGTACGTGGACAAGCTGATCAAATGGATTGAAAAGGAGTACGATGTGTACTTCATACGGAGCCATGCTACTTTCTGATCAACCTTAGCCCCCCACATTTCAACGAGTTTGCCGTGGAGAGCATTTGTATAGCTATCAAGTACATAGTGACATTGCAAATTGTGAGATAAAATATATAACTATTTTTATATATAAACAAACATCCGCCTGTTGCCGCCTAATTGTTAATGTGTCAAGCCGGACTGATGTTGTTGCGTTGCAGTTTTGACGGCCTTTATTTAACTTAACCATGTATACCATTAAAACGCATGTATGTACATTTTTAACTTAAGTAAATCCTAAAAAATAGTTAAATGTTCTTCACTCATTGTCTAGATCGAATGAACGTATAATTTGCATATGCAAATAATATTTGTTTGGGAGCGGAAGATACCTTGTTAGGTTTTCAACGACTGAACGTAATTGACTAAACGAATCGGTTATCCGATTCATCTCCGCGGCTAAGTCCCTTACGGCCCAGCGAAGTAACAACGTAATTATTATAAAGGTTTAAGGAAATGGGTTTGAATTAAAATACTAAAATAGTTTTTCTTAATTTTTTTGAATAGTTACGTACAATTTTCACACATATTCCTTCCTGGATATTAAAAAAAATCCATGGTTTAATGGAGTAAATGTCGTTTTTAAAAAACAGTTATATGCGACTCAAGCTTTTGCAACGGCAAAAACAACAACCATGCTATATCTATATTGGGTAAGGACAGGCACTATGATACTCAAATTATGTCCCGCTAACAGAGGTCGTTCGATGAGTGTTACCACCTTGTACGAATGTACCATTCACATGCGCAAAGCTCAGAGAGCGAGAGAGAGAGCGGGCGAGAGAGAGAGAGATCCTGGCGAAAACAACTTTTAGTCTCCGAAGGGGATGACCCTAAGTTTTACACCCAGTTATGCCAGGTCTAAATCCTGCTCGCAGAGCATAGAAAAAGTCCTCCTCAGTTGAGTTAAACGTGAGCTTACGCGCACTCCGCTTATGTGTGGCAGCAGCAGGAGATTCCAGTTGAACCAGTGTGCCTAACAATAAAATTGAAATCATTTTTGCTTAAATCCAAAGGAGTATGTGAAATACACACAAACAAAAAAAGAAGAAATAACCGTAATAATAGTGAAATTGAAGAATAATCAAAAAAATGCATGGTGTAATATCCATGTGCCGTTTCAACAGTTCTTTTTTGAGGGGCAGCAGGGGCTGTGCTCTCTTTTCAGCATGCGCCACGCATTTTTTGGGTGTTAAATGCTCGTGTATCTGTCGGTTTTTGCGCGCTTAGTGCGGCGGCATTAATACACGTCCCTTGCGACGCACCCACACACGCAAATATGCTGCGCTGCTTATGTATTCGTGTGTACTATGTATGCTGCTGCTACTGCCTCTGCTGCTGTTTTATGCTGCTGCTGACCCGCTTCGTTAGTTTTGCGCGCGTGCTGTCCGCCCGTTCCCGTTAAACCCGTCTCGTCGCCCGGCTACAGTGTGCAAATCATTTAATTTATGACCAAAATATATTTTTATACGCATTTCTCGTGCATTTTCCCTTCGTTTCGTTTCCATTCGTTTGCCCAGCCATCCATCGTTAATTTGTCAGGCAAACGCTTTGTACTTCGGAGCTATCAACATTCCTCGGCAGCGTCAAAGTAGCGGCGGCAGAGCAGCGACTGCAGACTAGCGGTGGTAGCGACAGCTACAACAACAAGGAGTTCTTCCTGGCAAAAGTTTCACCTTTGTGTGCTTCACACACACACACACATACACCCAGACACACAAACACATATTCGAGGCCACAGGATGTCTTTTTGTGTATCCTAGAGTTATTTTGAAAGCAGCAGAAGAAGCAGCAGCAGCAGCTAACGCGCGCTTGTTTTGCTCTGTTAACGTCGACGGCGACGCCTGGCTTTTCTTATGAGTGTACATATGTATGTATGTACGAGTATGTATGTATAAGTACAAGGAGGAATTCGAGTCGCCGGCAGCGGGCTAGGGTAGGAGCAGAGGCAGACGTAGAGGGAGCAGCGGAAGGTGCATGCAAAAGAACCGTAGGATTCTATTTAATCCGGAAAAAGTTTCGGCGCCTCCGTTTTATGGCTCTCTTTTTTGTCTCAGTTTCTGGTTGGCTTTAATAAACTTTTTTTGAGTGCTGGAATATTTTTTGTTGAAATTTTCATAATTGGTGCGAAATCTGTCCTATGGGAATTTTCATTGAAAAGCAGTGAAGGATGAGAAACCATCTCTTAGATCTGTATGGAAATCTACCATTTGGCATAAAATATATAATAGATAAATCGTCTAATCCAAAAGATCCAAAGAGTTAGGCATTTTTCTGAAATATTGGTCAAATATTCTCTCCAGAATAATTTTAGCGAGAAAAATATGATTTTCCATTTTGTAATTAAATGACCATCTGTTGGCAAAGTGTGGAAAAAAAACTTTAATATTTTCATTTATGGTCACCTTTTCTTGCAATTTGTTAGGAAAACTTTTTCGGACTGCAATCAAAGAAGTTTTTATTTCTTAACTTGAGGAGTATCAGATTTTTCTTTCAATTTTCTTGAGCACCAAACTTAACTCAAAATTGGTAAAAAAAAAACCAAAACAAAAACAAATAAAAATGTGCAAAAAGTTTCCTGCAAAAATTCTTAGAAATTGCAATCCTTAAAACTTTTGATTGCATACTTTGAGGAGCTGCTGGCCAGCAATAAAGATACGTACTATACATACATATATTGATTGCTTGATTTAACCGCCCGAACGTGGAGCATAAAAAATTGTTTACTTCTGTGAGCAATATCGGAGCTTCCTTGGTAAGCCCCAGGATTTATGGTTCAATAATCAATATGGACATTTATGTTCCATGTGTGCGGCGTAATTTTTTATTGAAACGTTGTTTTGGCGGTTAAAAAAATCCATAAATCCATAAATGCTTAAAAACAGTTCAACCTAATACTGCAAAATGGTTGATCGACTCGGAATAGTGTGAATTGTGAACAATATCAACTGACTCTTTAAAAAGGAAACCATGAATGGACGGTTTTATTTATTGTTCTTAAATCCAATTAGTCCGCTGCCAAATACACCACAAACGCAAACCGAAAATTCAATTTCAAAAAAATCAATAGAAACATGACACTACAAACGAAAATATCAACTGAAGAATGCGGCGCATAATTTAATTTTTCAACCAGAAACTATCACACGCGAAACGAGTGCGCTCTGCCATCTACCCGAGTTAAACCAGCGCTAAATCAACTGCAACAATCCCATCCAATCCAATCCAATCCAACGAACAAAAAAACAAGCAGAAAACCCAAAATCAACCAAAATCAACAAGAGTTTCTGGTATTAATTTTATTTGATGCGCGCGCTCATAAAAATTTACATAGAAAGCGACACCAGCAACAACAACAACAACAACAGCCAGCAACCAGTCGGAAATACCCATCTACAACATCAAAACTGAATTGGTTAACCATGGAAAAGGCGTAACTGCCAACTGCTGACCCGGGCCATATAACTTTAGGTTAGTATGTCGGTCGTTTGTTGTCTTACTGACTTTCCCAGAACAGAACAGAGCAGAGCAGAGCAGAGGAAAGCAGAGCAGAGATGAGCAGAGCAGAGCAGAGCAACCGGAATGGCGAGAGAACCATTTGCCTTTCCTTTCTTGCTTTTCGTTTTCCTTTTTGCATTCGTTTAATGTGCTCCACGATTTGATTTATACTTTTTTGTATACCCTTTCTGATACATTTTCGATCTCTTTTAGCACATCATGTGGGAGCCTGCCCTAATCCCTCTCCCTTTAGCAGTGATATGTATATATTTATCCGTTTTCAGCTCAGATCCTGGCCGCTTTGCCAAGGGTATTCCCAATTCGTTGCATCCGTGGCAGACTTTGTGCATTTTTTTTTTGCTGCGTTGGTCGCTTGCTTGCTTGCTCGTTCGTTTTGTTTATCCTTTGGCCCTGATCAAATAGGCATCATTTGCCTGAAGGCATCTCGAAAAAGGGAAGGAAAAGGGTCGACAGCAAGACCGCGTCCGCAGCAGTGACAGCAATTTAAGCGACAGCCAGTTGATGACTGTGTTGACATGAGCGAGCACGGCTCTGATATGAAACGGAGACCCGTTCATCTCGGGCCATCATCTCGCCACGAGTCCACGAGTCGTAGGGCCTGCGCTATATTAACCCTATTTTTCTCGTAAATTAATTACGCCCAGCAGCTGGAGAGAGACTGCAGACGGAAGCACAAGCCAATTTTTATGAAATTTAATATTCCTGCTCTGACGGGTAACCATCTGGGCTATAAGGGATTGGGCATCTATGATTGTGTAAAATAATCGCCATGGAATTTTTCAGCTATTCTATGATGGTGCCTGCCTATGGGGGTTTAAATTAAATTCCCTCAGGTCTTTCCCGTTAACTTTTACAGCACTGTCGCCAAGGAACTCGAATTTCTCAAACTCTGAGCTTAATACCATATCCGGATTTCCAGTTGCCAGTTCTTTAACTGTATTCCGTATATGAAATGAATCTGTTTGTGTTTAAGCAAAGAATTCTTTCATTTTGAGATGCCAAAATGGTTATTTACGTTCATTTATATTTTCAACTTGTGTCTAACTTGTGCTCCTGCCATCCCACACTCTTTTTGACATAATTTCCTACACATCCATATATCATCGGCTACTCCGACTTCCGGTTGTCGCTTTTGGCATTTGCTATTCGCCATTCCCACTGTCTATTTATAGGCGCCGCTCACGCAGACACGTCACGACTGCCTCCTTCCTCCTGCCTCCTTCTCTATGTTGTGGCACCCACCCACACAGCGAAGAAAATTGAAAACTAAATGATGTGTTTTTCGTACAGCCTTCATACACTTCTCTAGCATGAAGACTCCATTTACATAATAGTCTTTGCAATACATACGTGTGTATATAAGGTATACACAACATGGGGTGTTGGATTACAAACAAATTAGATCTTTAGATGATTTAGAAATGATTGAACTACTACGGAAATATCTGTCCTAAGATGAGTACTAAACGACATGGCAAATTTGATTGTAACAAAGCACAAAATGGCAAATGGAGCAAGGACGAAAGTTCCCACCGATAAGACCTACAGCTAGAACATAAATCCCTAACTGTTTTATAAGGAATTTTATACCCTGGCAGATGGTGCTCCAATTTTGGTAAGCTCATCACTTCACGCCGCAGTATACAGGGTGTACTATTCGTGGTCTTTATCAGATGAAAATCTACATAAATACTAGATCCCTGTCCCTTGAACGGACAATCGAATCGATTCAGTGGGATTCGGCAAGATTCGTTTCGTTCGGTCCATTCGAATAAGCGATTAAGCTTTCTCATAACATCGAATCGTTCGCTTAAAACGGACTGAACGACGCAGGTCTCGACAGATCCGATTCGGTTTCTCTCTCACTCTTCACTCAACGAACGCATAAAAAGCAAGCATCAAACATACGAAATACAACGACTTGAGGCAGAATATATTCTACTCCTGGAAAAGCAGAAAATCTATATTGTGTTTTTTCCCGATCTGAACAGAAAATGGCCCGAGTCGGGCGTGAAAAATCCCAGTGGAACATCTCCTAATGGAAGAAGTTCCACTGTATTTACCTTCTACTCGGACGTAGACAACCAGCAACGGAACTTTGTTCTTTGTGTGGTCTCTAGGAGGGGCCTCGCTTAGCCCTCGCTTAGCCCCACGTGCAATGCCTTAACTCCCTCACTCACACACGCACACCGACACCCACACAAACTCGAGCACACCATAACGGGGAATTGTGGGGAATTTATTGAATTTTTATTGGATTTTTCTGCCGCGCCCACAAAAAGAAGAGAAGGAAGAGCCGGGCAGGGCAGGGCAGGGCAGGGCAGCGCCATGCTGGCTGCTGTGTACTCGTTAGGCGTGGCATAATTCATTATGTTGACTCACTTACTCCCAACCATGCACACCGCCCCTCGCCCGCCGCCCTGCTGCCTGTTGCCTGCCCGCCTCCACTAATGACGTGCCGCGTGCTTTGCATATTAATGTACCGCAATGCCCTGCATTCCATTGGCCACCTCGATTTATGGCTTAAAGAGCGGCCAACAGCCAACTGCATTCAATGGAATACAATTTGTGGGGGCCACCCCTACCCCTGGCTTTCAAGGACGCGCTCTGTGATTAGCACATGGCCGGAACGGATTTCGAAGGGGAAATTATTACGCTGCAAAGATCAAAACCAGAGTGAACCGGGGCTGCCCATCCACTTAACCTCACCGCCATTCAAGGTAGTCCGTTTACCTTTTCATATCAAAGCAAATGAGAGAAGGAGAGGCGGCGCTTCTTCGCTTCGAATTTTTGGCCACTCAAATTTATGGGCGTTTGTGTGTTTGTGTGTCTGTGTGTCAGTAGTGGACCACCCTACAAATTGGTCGCTGGTGATACGAGCGGCACAAAAAAATTATTTGTATTTACTTGTCTATTACTAACAATTTTTGTAACTTTTGCACCTTGTCTGAAATATTGTACTGGTTCAAAGAATCACTTTTGCTGAAACAATGAGACCTTTTTAAAATTGCGAATAAAATCTACCCAACTACAAAACATCGGTAGACTTTCAGCTTCAATAAGAACAAAATGTTTCAATGAGAACAAAAATTTCTTAGGATACATATATATATCTTATATATCATACATGATCATATCCACAGGGCAGTGGATGGTAAGAAATTCTGATAAAAGCGGAAGGGCACGATCTAAGCAGCTCAAAATTCATGCCACTTTGAGAGTCTCTGAAGTATTTGAGTTTTGGGCAATCAAAGCAAACATCGGCTGTCAAATTTTTATCTTTTTAAACGCAATTCCAGACAGATTTTTAGTAATCGTTTGAAAGTACACACAATAAAACTATTCTATACAATAATACAAAACGCAATCCCCGAATTTCGAAAGTAAACACGAGTAGGTATATTGGAATGGATATTATCCATTGTTCCGGCAATTAATTTATTATCCATAGCAATGGCACATTGGCTTATGGTGGGACTGGCTGCCCTGCTCTTCCTGTTCTACCAATGGCATCAGTGGCGTACAATTGAGATTACATCGAAAAGACCCATGCTGCCCTCGATAGTGGTCTTCGTGGCCGTTCTGGGCCAGTGTGTGGACAAGGTTAAGATGCCCCAGTCAATCCCAAGTATGCAAGGCCGGCTATATAAATTCCTCTTCGAGCTTGTTGTATCGATATTTGTGATATACTTCGGCATGGTGGTGGTTTGGCACTTCCTGGAGTTGTTGACCATCCTGTTGCTTCAGCTAACACTGCGTAAATTTCGCTGTGTGTCGGAATCAAACTATCAGTTATACGAAGAGTTCTGGATTGGCGGCATTACACTGCCACTGTCTCTGATCATCTTGGTGACGTTGTCCAAGCACAAAATTTACAAGAGGCTACATCTGAATTGCAACACAGACACCGCCATGAAGGTTTTGAAGCGCCGGAGGGGGCCGAAGGCACCCGGGATTCGATTACGTTTCAGTGAAAGAATCCGAAACAGATCAAAAAACCAATAACGGAATGTGGGGTAAAGTAAAAATGTATTTAATAAACCATCTAATACGGATATTGCTGGCTAGCGAGCTGCTTATCTAAACCGAACCTACACAGTATTCCCCGGAAGCTCCTGTACTTGCTGCGCTATTTGCATATCTGCTTCTCCATTTCGGATGCAAAGTTTTGCCTTTGGGCCAGAAGTTTTCCCCCGAACAAAGTTTGTCCAAACGTTGTGTTCGCCTGTCGCCTGGACGGAGGGATGGTTGGACCAGGCTTTTGCTTTGGCCTCCCTCCCAGCGGTTCTAAGCAAACGTTTAATATTCACGCTTGAGCGCGTTCCCAGGCGAGGCAGTGGATGGCAGTGGGACGGCTGTGGGACGGCAGTGGGACGGCAGTGGTAATGCAGTGGGACGGCAGTGGGATGGATGAAAATGTGTGAACAGTTTGACGCTTATCTATGCCTCTGCGTTTTGACCAAATTTTATTGCCTGTTTCCAGGCCAAAACGTTGCCCAGTTTCTGCTCAAGTGAACAGCATCAGTACAGTGCGGTGGCAGTTCCAGAACCAGAGCCAGCGACAGTGTTATGCTCTGCCATTTAGCAATTAGCCATCCACCGAAAGAGAGAGAGAATGAAAGAGGGAGAGAGAGAGAGAGAGAGAGACTGTCAGGCAGGCAGGAAGGAAGGAATACTCCACTGATGATGATAATGATGATGATGTTTGTCGACAGTAAACCAAAGTTCATTACGGACTTGTAATGATATTAATCATATGCCATGTGGTGCTAATGAAGAGGCAGCCACATCCGCCACATCCCCATTCCCAGCGGCTGCGTGCCTCGTCCGTTCTCTCCCCAGCATTTAAAGCACTTGAAATGCAATTTGGAATTACTTGTGGAACGGAACGGCCCTTGTTTACATACCCGACAACACGGGCCACATCCCCACGCCCGTCCGGACGGACTTGGGGGCTGCAATTGCTATTCCATTCCCTCCTTAACTGCTGTCTAGCTGTGTTCGTGCCGCGTTCCTGATTTCTCGGCCTGCCCTGGCCTGCAGCTCTCCTCCGGCTATCATTCAACTTTCGTGCGAACATTTGTTTTCTCTTCCTTGTTTTCCGCTTTGAAAGAAAGCTCTGGCAAGTCTAGTCCTCAATCTGCACGAATCAGCTAATTCACAGTGGTACGTGGCCATTGTGGCAAACTTTCCCATCCTTAAAGCGCAGTGCCTGTGGTTTTTCCTTTAACCGATTTTCAGACATTTTTCCATTGCCTGCATCCCTAGTAAAAATTGTTTACTTATCATAACTATCGATGCAGATACCGAGAGCTTACCTTTGCACCTCCATTCGCAAAATTCTGCCATTAGAAACTTTATTTATTTTTCTGAAGAAAGTTGCGGATGTTTTCATGCCACTGTGGCAGAAACTAGTCAATATTCTGAGAAGTCCAGGGCCCCCATCTATGGCCCGACCAACCATCAACGGAAGTGCTCGTCGCCATTTTTAGTGCACTTCTTAAAAGTGCGCACATTTCCGTTTGGCATCAATGATTCGGACTCGGTTTTCCCCCCATCCCATTTCTGCTCTACCGCGTCTCACACCCACTCTTCCCATCTGCCACCCCATCCCCATTCAGCTGTCTGTGTGTGTGTGTGTGTGTGTGTGTCTGCCATTCGCTTTTCCTATTTCGTTTTTATGCTTTTTTCTTCGCTTCGAGTTTTTCTTCCCTTCTTTTCCGCTTGGCCTCTGGCTGTTTTGGCTTCACTTTTGCTGATTTTAATTTTGGTAAAAGTTGTCACATTTGATTTTTAGAAATTGTTCGGTTTTATGTGCCTGCCCCATCGCTCCGTCGGCCCATTGCCCCCCATCCGGTGATGGTCGCTTGTCTTTTGCTCCGCTTTTTTATGGCGCTTTTATGCTGTGCCATGTGCCATGTGCCATGTGGCTGTTGCTTTGTGTTGGGACCTACGGGCAGGGGCGTCCTGGAAAAACTGTTAGGTCAGGGCACACGGGATAAGCCATGGTGCAGAGCCTGTTGCTTGTCTTCATCCCCCCTCCCCCACGGTGGTCTGGAAGTTAAAACAATGGCGAAGCGGACAACAAGTTTGGAAGAAGCAGTACTGAGGGTTTAACTAATTAGTGGAGATCGTAATTTATGTGTTTGGTTTTTGTAATGAAAAGAATGGTATGCCAGGGCTTACAACTGGATCAAAATAATTGCAGTTGTAGAATGGATTGGGGGTGCTAAATGTAGTACAAATTAAATGGTACGTAAATTATTATTCGTATAAATTATAGAAATATGTTTGGATGGGATGGGAGCACATTATAGGAAATACCTTTGTCGGTCTCTTTTTGCCATTTGTAAAGTGTACAATTCAAACAACATTATTACAAAATACTTCCGACCCCCAAGTCTCCAAAGAATATTAGGAAATGTCTCTAATTAAAAACCGCAAATAAGCATAATCAAAGCATAATCATAATACCCGCAGGAAATTCAGCCACAAAGGATCCACATTCTATGGTCGGGCTAATCAGCCAAACAATTCATTCCTAATGATTCCTAATCTGATAATGTTAATATATTTAAAGGTTTCCTAATCTAATCTCAGTCAGTAAACAACTTAAACAAATTTGTGCGGCAGTTTGAGTGGCTCCCGTCTCGCCTCAGAAACCACTTTGATGACAACAATCTACGGCATTGTCCTTGATATTGTGCAATCAATCCAATACAATCCTTTCATTCTGCAGCCTAATAATGGGTTTCGTGTGCAAGTACTCTCCAGAGATAAAGGAAAACCGAGCAGAGGGGGGAGGGGCCTAGGGTGGATATTCTGTGGGATATTTATGCACTGAAATTTCTTATGCAATTAAGTGTCGGCCTTAAAGCCGAGTCACAGCTCAGACAAGCCCCCAGACCCCTCCCTCTCCAGCTATAGACAGCGCCACGGGCCATGCCTGAGCCTCAAATGACATCCTTGCCAGCCGCTCCCTTGCCACTCGTTTTCCATGTTGCCTTGCCGCATGGCTGCACTTTGGACACACACAAACACACAGACATATATGTGCATACATATATGTATGTATGTGTGTGTAATTGTATATTGGATGCACGTTGTATGCCCAGGAGAAGGATCTGAGACGGGAGGCCAGCTGCGAAAATACTCGTACTCGTACCAGATGGAATGAATGAAAATAAAATCAAGTGAAATTTTCAAACTTTTGTGTGAAAAGCGAAACTGTGAAACTGGGAAAAATGGGTAACATTTGTGTTTGTAAATAGCAATCGAGACAGAAATCGCAGCGACATTTTGCTTCATGCTCCTCCAAGCGAAATAAACATGAAAATGTTCAGATACATTTTTGGGCTCAATAGATACGTACATCATACATACAGAGTGGATATGTACAGTGAAACCCAAGAGTATACGCCTCAATATGGGTGGAAATGGAATTGTGGGAAGGCTTCCTATATATAGGACACTGATCTGCTCAGGAAGCGACTGTCCTTTGCGAGAGCTCACACTGTATCCTACGGATATCTGTGTGTGTGTGTGCGGCTTGTGCGTGTGCGTGTGCTGAGGCCCACAACAAAGCCAATAAAAAGCTATGACCTCGAAAAGTTCAATTTTGTTGCTGTATATAAACGTTGAGTGTGCTTGACAATTTTTCACTTCAAGCAACAAATTATGCCGTAGCATAACATTAGGCGCACCCACACGCCCACGCCCCAACCCCATCCCAAGCCCCACCACGACATTTTGAAGTGAACCTTAGCCCAGAACCCAGAACCGAGTCGAGACGAGTCCGTCCCCCCCTCTAAGCATAGTAGGATGTATGTATGTATGTATATCCCTTCGGCCGCTTGTGCGTGCCAAGCCGCCCCGCCAGCGACTTTATCTAAAAGCTCACTTAGCCCCAAGTAGGCCAAGTAGATTACAACCCAAAGAGCTGCTTGTCTATAAAGAAATATTGTGCACACACAGATGCATAGGCGGAGGATGAATGATGAATAATCGCAGTATACGAGTATGGGCCGCCATATGGTTATTTTGACTAATTTTGGGACAACATTTATTATTAGATTTCCTGGGGGGGGGGAGGAGAGAATCATCCATCCATTTTGATAAGAAAATTGGGGATAACCAAGTCGTTAAGCATACGTTTTTTGTTGCGAATCCTTCAGATTATACGTATATAATTTTCTAGGAAATTGTATATAAATATTTACTGAGCTTCATTGTTGAACATAGAAGCAGGAGGATCCAGCTACCAGACGCGTTCTGCTGTTATTAATGAGAAGAAAATTAATTGAAAATAAATTGTATTCCAAGTGCTTAAATCAAAGCCTCCACACATTGCGTATATTTTGAGTACCGAGTCTCGATTACGCACACAGGCAAAATACACTTTGTTTTTGCATTCTCGGTCCGAGAATATCTGTACCTCTGTCCTGTTGCTATGAAATGAAACCCGTCTGCTATGACACCTGGAAAGCTGGCTGTCGTATAACTACTATCAAAGCTGTTTGTTGCGAAACTCTAGCCAGCTATTAGCTATTATCTGCACATCCATTATCTTCGCTACTGGCTCTAATTGAATAAAATCCAACAAAATAGGGCAAACACAAATTGTAAGTCGCTCATGAAAGCAACACCGAAACTTATTTAAAACTCGATTATATAGACATTGTCAGGCTTTTAATGATATAAACATTTTCCGGGGTGGTGGGAGCACTTGAGTAAATTGCGCATGTAAACAGTGCCCCCCCCCCCCCCCCCCCTGCCGAAAAAAGTGGGCCATCGTATAACGAAATACTCGCAAAGTGGGGCGCCAGACCCTGAAAAGTGATTAAAATGATTGTTGTACAACAATGTCCATGTCCGTGTCCTTGTAAGGGTTTTGCACCCTCCTCCTCCTCCTCCTCCTCTCCCTGCCCCCAAGCATTGCCAAAAAAAAATAGCGCGCCATTACAGGGTTGCTGTTGCTATTGCCATAGCTTCTTCTTTTTAGTCTTCTTTCATTTTT